CTCTCCATTAATTTGTTTTGCACCCCATTCTAATTTTTGTTTCCCGACTTCATTACATCCCAGTCTTCTTTTTTAATTATGTATCCCAGAAATTTAAACTGTCTTTTTTTCACTGCAAGAAATAGTTTCATTGTTGTTCTTATTTTAATCAAAGGTTTACGGTATTCATAGATTCAGTCTCAGTATTTTTCTGTACATCCACAAACCTGTTGCTTCAATTCGCTTCTGCATCTGTGATGAGAGTGGCTAGCATTCTCTCCCATATATCTAGCTGTTCTCTCGTATCCGAGTATGACTAATCCCTTTTAGAAGAGACTTCTCACGAACTTTTTGCTGTTCTTCATCATCCACACAGCCAAGCTTTGGTTTACACGACAATTATGCCAATCCAACCTCAGAAGAACGCACATCATCTGCCGGGATCACCGACTTTGAACAAACCCAAGAGCTCAAAAACGGCATTAGAGCAACCATCGACGGATTCAAATTCTCTCACAAGGCTTGCATCAAAGCGCAATATAGTTCTCAGATACTTACTAACTTTATGACGCACGCAGGCTGCATTATCAAGCGATTACCACCTTGCGAAATTTACTATGATGATATTCGAATCCGGCTTTCATTGTCGGAATCCTTACGTTCTAACGTTCGGCCACGGACAAAGATGCTATATGTGTGATTAGATATCATGTAGCAGCTTCTTCTTTGTTTCTGTGTCTTTTAAAATATTTCTTTCCATATTAATAGCTAATTTTATATCTAAATCCTGTGCAAATCTCAACTAGATATCGTCGTCAGCAAACGCTCGCATCTGAACATCGGGATCGTCATCCTCTCTCCCTCTTCTTTTTCCGCACTTCCCGGGCGATAGAGGTGGCGAAGATGGCTGTGAAGGCTCGACCTATTTCTGAAAAGTTGTGTGAGGAGAGTGTCGGCTATGGACGCGGCTGGGCAAGTTGGCCGTGGGAACATCGCTGCTGGACTTGCCGAAGGTCGGAAGACAGCGAAGTCAAAGAGATCTTGACGAGACCATTCGTGTGAATTTGATTTTGATTGACAATTCTTCGTGAAAGGAGAAGCTCAAAGACGGTTGCTGACAGACCAGATCTGTCAAACCTGGTTGCATCGTGCTGCCTGATGCCTGTTCTATCAAGGTCCTCCTTGATTACGCCAGACCCACTGACTCTGCTCTCTACTACCAGTTGGTTCGTTTAGATTATCTCGCTCTTTGCTTATTCTACTATTGGGGGTTTCGGGTGGTTGGTAGCGTTCTGTCTGTTCTCTTCGCCTCGACCTTACCGCCATGGATTGCACTAGAGGAGGTGGACCTCCAAACGGCTTCGTTCTCGAGCTCACTGGATCAAGCAAGACCTCTACCAAGATTATGGGATAGGTGATGGGAGAGATCTTGCAAACCTGGTTGTACTGGGCTGTCGGATACTTGGTTTGTCAAAGACCTCTGTCCTCGTCTGCCGGTATGGCTGTTGAGATCGTGTAGTCTATTCTAGCTTTGGGGTTTCGGGTGTTGGCCCCGTTCAGTCTGTTTCCTCCTCTTAGACGTTCCGTCCCGGGTATAACGATAAACCGGAGCCACGTCCTGGGTAAGACGATAAACTACGTCCAACAGCAAGACCGCTGATCAGGAGGTTTTGAGGAGCGTGTAACCACCTCTTAATTGCTGGTGTTCCCAGGTCCACCCTGACCTGGGGTGGTAGCACCTGTTAGGGTCCCAGCTATGGACAAATAGCTGTTTTGCTCCTCATTAATTTGTTTTTTTACTCCATTAATTTTTTTGTTATCTTATTAAATTTTTTGCTCTCCATTAATTTGCTTTGCTCTCCATTAATTTTTTCCTATTATATTATTTTTTGCTCTCCATTAATGAAACTATTTCTTGCTGTCAAAAAAGAAATTTAAATTTCTGGGATACATAGTGAATAAAAAAGACTGGGATGTAATAAAGTCGAGAAAGAAAAATTAGAAACTGAGATAAACAGCCTTATGTAAGTCTAAAAATAGGTTTTAATTCCAGAAATACTTTGTAAAATTTATTACCAGAAATAAGTTTTTCAAGGAAAAAAAAATCTATTGCCAAACGAGCAATATATTCTTGAAAAAAAAGTATTGCCAGCAATACGTTTTTGAATAAAAAAACCCCCAAAAACAAACTATTGTCCGCAATACGTTTTTGAAGAAATAATGTTACCAGCTATACGTTTTTAAAAAAAAATAATATTACAACCTTTACATTTTTTAGGAAAAAAATATTAACAAATAGATTTTTGACAAAACAAAAATATTACCAGGAAAAAAAAAAGTTGTCGGCATTAAATAACCTATTGAGGTTGATATGCCGTAAAACAAACCAAAGCAAAGCAAACCAAATGTCGATGTTACCACCACGGGTGGTCCTACAACTCCAGACTGCTTCGCACTTGGGATTAAAGGGAGGTGCCAGCCCTCTACCATGACAAGGAACACCCATATTAATCTTACACTGACAAGTAGATATATACATCAGAAACATAATAAATATTTTAAAATACATCAAGTAATCACTCTCCCATTATATAGTTTAAAACTTATACAGGAATTCTACACATTACTGAAATATGACACGTGATTTACGAACGGGAAGAAAGAAATTTAGCATCTATGGAGGCAACGTAGTGTAATAACCAAATTATTTCTCTCCTTAATAATGTTTTTTGCTCCCATTTTCTTTGACAGTCTTGCATCTTAGTGGCTTTATAGCCAATTAATTGCTTTTTGGATGTTCCAAGCTTGTCAGTAATGTCTAAGCCGTATTTGTTAATTATCTGTTGGTAAAAGATATTTGTAATTTTATATCCGTTTGGACAGCGAGACGATCAAATAGGAAAAAAGGCTAATCTGGGCTCTCAGCGATAAAAACATCCGTCAAAATGGCTGATATTTATAAGAGTTTAATTCAGTCTCATATTCTTTGCGCTTTCTCTGTGATAGGGTAATTAAAATATATTTAATGGTCAGCTAGACGCATATAAATTGCACGTTGTATTTTTGCAATATGAGGTCCTAAAAATGTTTCAATTCGAGATAAAAACGAGACACGTCATCAGTGAAACAAATCTGCGAGTACGTTTGCCGGCTCACTTTGCATTTTCACGATTCCATAAATAATTGTTTCTAAGTAATAAAAGAGTATAAAACTCTTTCGAGGCTACTTACAAGTAGTCTACTAATTCTACTACTAATAGGTATTGTACTAAAGAGGTAAATGATCAGGTCAATGCAAAAAAAATTCGTGTCTGATTTTTATTGTTAATATAAAATGGCCGCAACTTCACACTGGCAAAGAGAAAATAATGGTATAATCAAATTGTTCCGCACTATTTTAAACAAAAGGTTAGGAATGAAACGCTAATCAGTACGCGAAAGAGCGATAACACTTACTGGAGTTGAGAAACACTATTTCCAAGAAAAATGTTTTAATAGAAATATTTTATAAATTTAAATTACAACAGGCTGCTCGGTGAAAGAATGCCGAGCGTACTGGGTATGACGATAAACTACATCCGCGTCTTGGGTATGGCGATAAACTACATCCACGTACTGGGCATGAAGATAAACTACATTCGCGTCCTGGGTATGGCGATAAACTACATCCATGTCCTAGGTATGATGATAAACTACATGCGCGTCCTGGGTAAGACGATAAACTACATCCGCGTCCTGGGTTTGACGATAAACTGCATCCGCGACCTGGGTATGAAGATAAACTTCACCAGCGTCTTTGGTAAAATGATAAACTACATCCAACAGCAAGGCCTCTGATTTGAGAAGCTTGGAACCACTTCTTAATTGTAGGTGTCCTCAGACCCACCTTGACCCGGGGTGGAAGCATGTTTTAGAGCCCCGGATATGGGGAAATAGTTAACCTCCCAAACTTGGATGAAAACACTACAAAAGTGTAAAAATAGGTTTGAATACCAGCGATACATTTTTGTAAAAATATTGCCACAAATGAATTTTTAAAGAAAAAAAATTATTACCAGCAATTAATTTTTGAAGAAATAATATTAAAGCAATAAAAATCTTTTCAGCATTAAATAACCCATTGAGGCTTATATGCTGTAAACCAAACCAAACCAAAGAATGTTTTCGTACAATGAAATGTCTAACATTACCATTAGCATTGAAGACCAGCTGAAATCTGTTCAGCTATAATGTTCGAATAGAGACATGAACCAGGACGAGGCTATTCCGAAGGGCAGAGTCTCATTCGGGGAGTGAGACCGACCCTGAACAAGTCTATACGGGTTCAAAGGGAATATTTTTGGCCGAGCCTACGGTCTCGGAGAACACACGGTCAACTCGACCTTGTATCACATACGACCCTCATTTCTATTAAATATGCCATTAGCATTGAAGATGAGAAGAACAGATACTACATTTTGATCTCATCCTGATGGCTAAGGACTGAAGAAAAGCGTAATTCGCGTTGTACTAGCAGCTCGGTAAATGAATGCCTAATGTTTCTGTACAAGGTAACAGATAATATTACCATTACTATTAAAGTTGCAGGAGTTTGTTTTTTTTTTACAATTTATTTCATAAAGCAGATTATTGCTTCCCCGCTGCGTGTTTAGCCACTGAGTTAAGAAGAGTAAGTTGTAAAAAATCATAATAGCAGAAACCTTTGGCACCATGTCGCTGTTATCATTCTCGGGCCATTGCGTCTGGGGTTAAGGTTATTGCCAATTTTTAAAGGCGGCAAGAGGCGCTGGGGCAGAACTCTTTCTGATAAAGCCCTTTATAAGTGACGAAAGATAATACCATGAACCATACAAATGAAATAAAATGTAACGGCAAAATTCAACAGTTGAAGAAGAAAAGAAAAAAAAATAACAATGGAAATTTGTAAATAGATAAAAAAAAAGAAAAAAGAAAAGTAGACACACATTTTTAAAAATAAAAATACTTTGTGAGTTATTTGGCTTTATTGATAAAGATTGTCGTCACCATGGGGATAATCGGCAAATGAAAAACAAATGCGGGAAAGAAAGAAAGAAAGAAAGAAAAAAAGAAAGAAAGGAAGAAAGAAAGAAAGAAGAAAGAAAGAAAGAAAGAAAGAAAGAATTGTATAAATGGAAAATAAAAGGAAAGAAGGAACAAAGATGGAATGAAAGAAAAAAAATGCGAAAATGAATAGCAAAAGAAAGAAAGAAATAAGCAAACAAAGAATGAAAGAAAGAGAGAATGCGAAACCAAATAAAGAAATAAAGAATAGTGCAAAAGAAAGAAAGATAGAAAGAAAGAAAGAAAGAAAGAAAGAAAGAAAAAATACAGAAAGAAAGGAAGACAGAAGAAAATGGAAAAAAAAGAAGTAGGAGCAGAAAAAATGAAAGTAGAAAGAAAGAAAGAAAGAAAGAAAGAAAGAAAAAAGAAAGAAAGAAAGAAAGAAAGAAAAAAGAAAGAAAGAAATAATAAAAAAATAAGGAGCAAAAAAAGAGAGTAAAAAGAGTAAGAAGAAATGATAAAGAAAGAAAGAAAAACCGGAAGAAATATAATGAAAGAAAAAGAAAGAAAAAACTAATGAAAGAAAACAGTGAGAAAAAAGTAGAAAACAAAAGAAAGAAAGAAAAAAGAAAGAAAGAATTTGAAGGAAAATAGGAAGAAAGAGGAAAAAGAAAGAAGTGGAGGCAGAATAAAATTAAAATAAAAGTAGAAAGAAAGAAAGAAGGAAAGTAACGAGGGAATAAATAATTAGAAAAAGTAGAAAGTAAAAATGCAAAAGAAATGATAAAGAAAGAAAGAAAGAAAGAAAAAGAAATGAACAAAAAACAGCAAGAACAAAAGTATAAAGCAAAATAAAGAAAGAAAGAAAGAAAAATAAAATAAAAATTAAGAGATAAATGGGAAGCAAAAGAGAGAAAAATAAATAAATACGAAAGAAAAGAAGAATGGGATATACGCAAAGCAATAGAAAGAAAAAAGAAAGAAAGAAAATAAAAAATAGAAGAGTAAGAAAGACTGAAATAAATGTAGAGAAAAGAGTGAAAGAAAAATGAAGGAAGGAAGGAAAGAAATCAAAAAGGAATTAGGAGAAAGGAAAAATGAATTTAGAAAAGAATGAAAATTGAATAAGATAAATGCAGAGCATAAGAAAGAAAAAGGGGAAATACAAAACCAAAAAAAGATAAGAATAATAAAATAGCAAAAATAAATCAAGACAAGAAGAAAGGAAGAAAGTAAAGAAAAAATCAAGAGGAAAAAGAAAATAACTAAAAAAAGAAAAAAAAAGGAGAAAGAGAAACAAGAGAAGGAGATAAAAAAAATCGATGAACAGTGGAAAAAAAGGAAGAAAAGGAAAGAATAAAAAATAAAAAAGAAAGTAAAAATAAATAAATAAAAAATGACACCAGAAAAAGAAAAAGAAAAAGAAAGAACAAATATGAAATGGTAGCTATGGATATCTACAAGGCTGACTTTGTTCAGCATAAATCAAAATTTAGTATCTAAGAATTTGTAACGTCACTGGAGGGTCATGTTTTGAAACTCAACATTGAAAATCCTCGCAATAGTCACGACATGAACACAGTAATTCCGACGACTTTGAAAAATGAGGATTTATCTGAAACTCCAAGAAGTTCTCACATCTTTACTAAGCTTAGCTTAAACTGGCTCAAGGTCTTGGGGAGCCTTGTACTCAGTGCAGAAGTAATAGTGCAGTAAGTGTAACTGTCTACTCATTGAAGTAAGACGGGCGCTGAAAATCCTTGCAACACTAAAGAGTGTTGCTTGTTGGGGTGACGTAATTGAATTGCAATTATTGGTTAAATAAATTAAGGGGCACACGATATTATTCACTTATAAATTCCTATGCAAAATTATACTGTCTGGTATATTTATAAGTCTGGTATATATTTCACTTATAAATCTCTATGCAAAATTATACTGTCTGGTATATTCATAAGTCTGGTATATATTTCACTTATAAATCTCTATGCAAAATTATACTGTCTGGTATATTTATAAGTCTGGTATATATTTCACTTATAAATCTCTATGCAAAATTATACTGTCTGGTATATTTATAAGTCTGGTATATATTTCACTTATAAATCTCTATGCAAAATTATACTGTGTGGTATATTTATAAGTCCGGTATATATTTCACTTATAAATCTCTATGCAAAATTATACTGTCTGGTATATTTATAAGTCTGGTATATATTTCAGTTATAAATCTCTATGCAAAATCATACTGTGTGGTATATTTATAAGTCCGGTATATATTTCACTTATAAATCTCTATGCAAAATTATAGTGTCTGGTATATTTATAAGTCTGGTATATATTTCACTTATAAATCTCTATGCAAAATTAGAGTGTCTGGTATCAACAGACTCCACTCAAAAAATGCATACACACTTCAAGAAAAGAAAACAATTGTATAGATATTGTTATACTAAATTTATTCAGATATCATGAGATTTATACAAGTTACCTTTGGACTCTACAATCACAAGAGATGCTCAGAATGTAGTGCATTCAAGTCGTAGGCTTTTCATACTGAACTACTGTATCCTCAATGCATATTCTCATATAATTAAAATCCTTCTTCAACCATCCTTTTGTTTCCAGTGTTTTCCTTACATTCTTACTAACCAGCAATTATAAACGTTATACGAACTTAAAAACAAAAATTTATATTTACTATTAATTTTATATTACTATAAGCTTTACTACTGTTTTTTTTTACATCGATCACTATTTCATTATCACCAGCACACACTGTGCTCTATTCTCTTTCTCTCTCTCGATATATATATATATATATATATATATATATATATATATATATATATATATATATATATATAATGGTCAGAGTTGAATCAGACCAGAAAACAGTAGTATTATATAGTGATAAATACTCGTGTGAACAAATAATGGTAAAAATAACATGCAGAGCTTTTAACTTTAAAACTTAGGAGGTCAGTTGCATCCGCTAGCTTAGTTTCAACCTTACGGTACCCTCAGGCGATTTTTATCATTTCCTGATCCAAAAACCTTTTGAACCAGAAATCCGATGTCTTGAGTCCCTGCTTGCCAAACACGCTGTAGCATCTCTCCGCTCTCATTATCCAATGCGGATGTGACCCTCTGCTTGAGTTCCTCAATGCTAGCAAGATGAGCGAGGACATAGACCAGTCCCTTCACATATCCCCAAGAAATCAAACGGAGACAGATCCGGTGACCGCGGCGGCCATTTCCTCAGGAAACTGTTTTCATCTGCACAAAGTCCGATCCATCTCTCTGACATATTCTCAATGAGATAAGCACGTACAACCCTTCTTCTATTAAATATAAAATCTTGATTTGTTTCTATATATTCTGCGAAAATTTGAGGTAATTTCAATAAGAATTGCCCAAATTATTAGTCAGCGAAATGATATCAAAATTTTTGGTACACCCTTTTATATATATATATATATATATATATATATATATATATATATATATATATGTTATAATTAATTCATCGAGTCTAGATTAAACCTCAATGGTTTTACTTAAAAGAGAAAACCTGATGAGTTCCACCACTGAATATGTGATCGAGCGGCGCTACATCGAGTCTCATTCACTAGCGCTTCGTCAGCGAGGCCAGCTGGTACAGTTGGTATGACATTTGACTTATAACGCAACTGTCTAGGTTTCAATTCTCGGTAGTGGATGCGCACTGCTGATGAGTCCCAAATATAGGACGAAACTGCCGTCCAGTGCTTTCTGCATCCTACTGAGGTTTCTTCTAGACTCGATGATTTATATATATATATATATATATATATATAAGAGAAAGAACAGTAAGATATATAATCCGGTGTTCTTATATGCTTTATAACCCAGTAATTTTAAAAGTTACTACAAAATGCGCTTGAGGATGAAATGGAATTAATGTCTTAATTACAAAATTAAATTATGACCTTTCAGCTTCCATTTTTGAAACATGTTTAGAACTGTGTAGCGAAAAGAACCATATTTTAAATCAATTTAAAATATATATATATATATATATATATATATATATATATATATATATATATATATATATATATACACCAGGTCTAACAGCAAAATTGTACAAATCACGTTACAGTATAATAGCCGTCCCTCAAAATGTTTAATAGCTAAAAAACCACTAAATTAATTGAGTTTTATTTTTACACATTTTTAGAAAAGATATTTAACGATCTTGACACCATCTGTCCAAAGAATCATTGTAAAACCCTTTGGGTTATTCAGCTAGAAAGAGAACAGGTTAAAATCGTTTTGTGTCAGACCCACTGTCTTCACAAATGAGCAATGATGGGAGGGAAAAGATCATTCACAATGGTACCAACATTCATACTCTGTCTTCAATCTTCAAAGTCCATACAAGAACCATCAAGAGAACGGTGAATAAGTTGTAAAAAGAGGGAACAGTAGAGAGGGAAAATTGGAACAGGGGAAACAACAAGAAGAGGGATCATCATTTCAACTTAGAGCTAAAGAGATCAATTAAAAAAGATCCAACTCAGTCCATAAGCCGTTTGGCACGTGAGAGAGAAATTTTACTTATGACATTCCAAAGAGTAGTGAAAAAAGACTGGAAAATACGTGGACGTGAAATATGTGAGGCGCCTTCTTACTCCAAGATAAAAAGTTAAAAGTTTAGAGAGGGCAAAGATCATTTTGAATAAGTGATAGAAATCATCCTGGAATAATATATGTATATAATTGAACTTTATTTCAATCCTTCATGAGCTTCCGATCCTTAGCTATGATTAATTATTGATGAACATGTCATTTTCGTTTAAGATCGATTTCATCACGATTCTCCTGTTAACCTTAGAGAGTAATTATCCATTATTATTGCTCAATGTAGAGTCCAATAGTGTTATAAAAACATCGATGAATTCCAATAAAACATGTTTAATTATTTCTAAGATAAAATGGTTCAACGCTTAATCTAGCAATTGGACAATTTACACTGCTTGAACAATTTTGCAGTTATACCCGATATGTATATATTTATATATATATATATATGTATGTGTATGTGTATGTGTGTGTGTGCGTAAATTAGTTTGTATAGTACTGTGAAAAAACGTAGACTTTACCAAACGTTAGAAAAAAACAAAAATATATATATATATATATATATATATATATATATATATATATATATATATATATATATGGGTGTGTGTGTGTGTGCGTAATTTAATTCGAATGCTACTGTAAAAAACGTATCGTTAACTAAACCTTAGAAAAAACACACACACACACATGTGTGTGTGTGTGTGTGCGTAATTTAAATCTTAGAAAACTGTAACAAAACGTAGCGTTTACCAAACCTTGAAAAAAATCATATATATATATATATATATATATATATATATATATATATATATATAACTATTTATCTATCAATCTATCTATATATATGTATGTGTGTGTGTGCGTAAATTAATTCGATGCTGCTGTAAAAAACGTAGCGTTTACCAAACCTTAGAAAAAACATATATATATATATATATATATATATATACACTATACATATATTTTCTCTCTATCTATATATATATATATATATATATATATATATATATATATATATATATATATTTATATATATGTGTGTGTGTGTGTGCGCGCGCGTAATTTAATTCGTATGCTATTGTAAAAAAAGTAGCGTTTACCAAACCTTAGATAAAAAAACAACACTTTTAGTGATAAGTGTTGGTAGCACGTATCACAAAATGAAGTCTCAAGAGACTGCGACATCACCAAAATCGTTATCACATCACAAACAAATGGGATATGCTCCCCACAATCTTCTGAAAGTGTTGGCCTCGAATAAAAATCTGGTTAATAGTCATCGTCTCTGTTGAAAACGACATTAATCATAGGCTGCGAAATCGATTTCACGTCGACTTATAGCTGGAAAATACCACACTACACAAGCAGAAACTTTCTTTGTCGACACGAGGTATCTTCTTTAAAGGAAAAAGGATTAAACGCGGAAATCATTTCCGATTTGGAGAGTATAGAACATTGTTTTGTCTAATCTCCCGAATTTCATGTTAACCACACAGATTTTGGACAGTGGACATTGTCCTGAATTCATTTACTTGAAACATCATAACATTTGATGTAATGGAATAGCTTGTCACCCTCATGAGTGACAACACTATAGGTAGTAACTGCCTATAAGTATCTGTAAGTCAACGGACAACAGGGAAACTATTCCAACTGTGCTATCTTTTTCTCTGTCTTCAGGCAGAGAGGGATTTTTTGTCGAGTCTACGGGCTCGGATTGCCACACATTAAACTAGGCCTTGTGCCACATCCTACCGCGGGGGAGGTTGGTAAATGCTACAAGCTGGAATCTGCTCCACATGTGCTGTGGAACTCTCTGCCTTTGGGCAGAGAGGAAACTGGACGAGGCTATGCCGAAGGGTAAAGTCTCGTCCGAGGAGGTAGACAGACCTGATCCCGTTTATGCGGGATTTAGGGGAAATTTTTTGCGGCCGAGCCTACGGGCTTGGATTTCCCCACATTAAATTCGACCTTGTGCCACATCCTACCAAGTAAGAAGGTTGCTGAATATTAATAGCCGGGATGTGGTGAGTACGACTCAGACTTACGCGAGATCTACCGACCTTCCAATAGTAGCACTCGCTACTGGATTGACTTGCGACGACCTTGTGCATAACTGTTACCTTTATTCGTACTGTATTGGTTTTTACAATAAACCTTTACTTATTTTATCCACCTTGTTTGTCAAGTATATATTCCTATTAGCACAGAATATAACAACATTGAATTAAAGTAAAATGGCAAATTATATGAGTTACACATCAGGGGATTCAGAAGGAAACAAGTGAAGTTAAACTATCCTGGATTCTGTAACAACAGACGACACAAAGTGAGGTAGCGAATTTGGAAATCGTTTAGATATAGCCAAAGACACCTTTTCAGAAATAGAGATACCTTTTTAGAAATAAGGATATCTTTTCAGAATTGGGAAAGGATAACAAAATAATATTAGCAAAAAAAAAAAAAAAATATGGATTGTTATGCAAAGTCAGTTGTATTTGGACAATTCAAAGACGAAAAAATAAACAGTGGATGAGGTTTGATGCAGGGACAACAGACCAAGGTTAAATGAGCTACCGTAGTCAGGCATGGTCTAAAATAAAAGTACGCTATCTCACTGTGGCGTAATGGATAGCAGAGGAATCGCAGAGCTGCGTGCGAATTTCAGTTGAATCCATTACATTCACTTACATGTTAATACCCTTGAGAAAGGTATGAATACTCTTCTATCGTCAACTATGGGTAAATAGCAGGACATAACGGGTTCTATAGCCTTGGATGGCAACTGGTCTACGAAAGAAATGGCAACCTAATGCAAGAAAAGAATCTGCCTCGTCAGTCATGTATCGAAAGATACATGATCGCCTACCCGTGTATCACGCATGGAACATAAATGACTGAAGTGGTTTTTCTCATTCATAATTTGTTATAAAATATACTGTATAAATTCAAGGATAGTGCCAGTTTTTGCGATCATTTTTTTGTACGCAAACAAATAGGTGTAGCACTTTACACAGTTCATTTTTTCTTTGAAGAGAGTAAAATTATATTTTTTCGGTAACCAGGTACACTATACACAGGTAAAAATTTTCCAAAGGGGTCAGAATTTATGTTAGAATTCAGTAGTCGAAATATACTTGAAGTCGTCTTATATACTAGTATATACACCCTTATGCAAATTAATTGAAACAACCAATTTAGTTTCCTTTCTTTCACTGTACAGTCAGTTTTAGATCCACTGGAGTTACAGGGTATAATCATTTTCTATTTTTCCTCAGGTTAGGTCATTTGCAGTGAAGTGCAGTAATATGAATCTATTTTCGGGCTGTATGATGAAATTTGCTTGGAAAATATTGCGTCCTCCGTGCTTGCATCAGATTTTCATCACGCCCAGAAACTATTGTCTCGACTGTCGATTATTTATCCTACGACCATTGTCTGCGATGGACGTTACTCCAAGGAAGCGTACGCAAATTGTAACGCTGCACGAATACACTGGCAAGCCTCACCAGTGACCAAATCAAAGTACTATAGACTAGACCGGAAACCTTCCTGATTTAAATCCAATCGAGAATCTGTGGTCAATCTGCAAGGAAAGACTTCGTGAAATGGACATACGAAGTACTAACATCTGCAATGGGTTATGTTTCTTTGAAAATAAAATACGAAAAAGTAAATAATAATAAAGGAATTATTCCGTTTTGTTTCAGTTAATTTCTACAAGGGTGTATGTTAACCTACGGATGGATATTGCAAATATCATGGACAGACCATGTGTCCAATGTGGACGTTCTAAGCAGAATTAACACATTGGTTACATGCAAATGGATAAACGAACACGTGAAACAAAGAAGAAGACTTGTTTGAAAAGAAAAAAAAAGATGGTTTTGAATGAATCGAAAATTGATTCTGGAATATATATATATATATATATATATATATATATATATATATATATATATGGACTTTATTTTAAGCATTCATGAGCATCCGATCCTTAGCTATGATTGATTAATGATGAACATGTTATTTTCGTTTATGATTGATTTCATTACGGTTCTTCTGTTAAGCTTCGAGAGTAATAGTACATTCTTTTTGCTCAATTGTCTTATAAAACCTCAGACAATTCCAGTAAGATATCTTTAATCATTTCTAAGACACAACGGTTCAAATCTCAACCTAGCAACTGGTCACTTTTTTCTTTTACGCCCGGTATGTATATATATATATATATATATATATATATATATATATATATATATATATATGTATGTGTGTGTGTGTATATATATATATATATATATATACTATAAGTAGAGCCCGGCGTTGCCCAGGGGATGTAACAGTAAGAGATAGATCAAGTATCGACCATCATAAAGACTGAAAAATAAAATTGACAAAGATTATTGTTTAAGGTTGACGGACACGCATGTCTTAATTATTTTATTTTTCGTTTTTTTTACGCATTGTTTTCAATCGTTATGAGTATACTGATTGAATAGAATTTTATTATAAACAATTGTCTTGTAAATGGAATTTTTAAAGCATTCTGAATGTAAAACTAAAGAAAGTGTGCAAGACAATAAGAAACACTACCTGCCAAAAAATAAGTGAAGTTTTGTAGAAATCGGTTGAAAAATGTAGGAAATCCGATCCCATATATAAACGGACACAGACACACACTCACAAACAACCTTGGTTTTATAAGTATAACTCGATATGAGTTGTCCCCCTTTCATTCTCGATAGCGATGCCTCTTAATCGTGTTTTCAAATTTGTTTCGGGCAAAAACAATTGTGTTTTTCTAATTTTTGGCGCTTTCAGAACCACCGCATGGTAATTTTACGTAGTCCGGTGAAGTTTTGTTGAAATCGGTTGAAAAATGTAGGAAATCCGCTCCCATATTTAAAGTAACCCACACACACAAATAACCCGATGTGAGTTGTCCCCCTTCCATTTTCACGATGTCTCTTAATCGTGTTTTCAAATTGATTTTGTGCAAAAACAATTATATTTTTCCAATTTTTGGCGCTGTCAGAATCACCACAAGGTAATTTTATGTAGTCCTGTGAAGTTTTGTTGAAATCGGTTGAAAAATGTAGGAAATCTGATCCAATATATAAACGAACAGACACACACACACAACCTAGGTTTTATAATAAATATGATATGTGTGTTTGTGTGTGTGTGTGTGTGTGTGTGTTTGTGTAAGTTAATTCTAATGGCAAATATACTGAATGAATTCGGAGCAAAGATAGCTCGAGCAAGTGCCATTATTTTACCGTCTTTTACGGTCTCCTGTATCATCTTAGCGAAAAGAATATGTCTATGACAAATTCTGCTGAATATTTCAACAAAGTTTTCTTTGACTGATAGATGCATTTTTAACGTTTGGTTGGTTTGTCGTTTTTGTTTAGCGAGATATCGACCCTTACAAGTTATTTAATCCTGTAATCTAAATATTTAGCACCTAATTTTATTTTATTTTTGGAGATAATAATTGTTTACTGATACAAGTCTGACTATTTAACCCATAGATGGTGGGATGGAGAGAAGAAGATTCATAACTTTCCGACAGGTACTTGCGCGTAAACGTATACAAAGGAACTCAAGTGGAATTGAAACCAGGCTCTCCAATTAACAATTCCGAGCCGTTAGCCATTACACCAGGAGTGAGCAACCCCCGCCAACCGGGGCCTAACCCGGCCCGCAAAGGATTTTTGTCCGGCGTGACAGCTTAATACCTGGACACTAATTATGTAATTAATTTGTGGAGCAAGTTGCAGAAAAAATATCATTTGGTGTTAATTAACATTAACGCGACAAATTTTTGAAATCAAAATTTAATTCTGAATCTACTGCTGATTTAACCAAGAAATATATTTTGCCAAGCTGAAAATAGAAAAGCCGATTGAATAATACGAAAATGATATTATTTTGAAGTACATATTGTGGTCTTCTAAGCGGAGCTTAAATGTGGCACAAGGCCAAAAATATGGGGCATCCAGTGAGGATCGAACTCACCGCTCAGTCGTAATCGTTGTAGTGAGATAAGCTTGATGATCCTTACACCACGTCGAGGTGCCCAATTTGGAAGCATATATACCTGTGAACAACTTCTTTCAAAAATGAAATATACTAAAAGTTGTTTAAGAACAAGGTTAGATGATGACCACCTGGATAAT